TCAAATAAATAATAATCCACACTCAGCATCAATTATTTCAGAGACCAGCCTAAAGTAATTACATGGACCTCAGAGGGAAATACCTCTTTTAACAAATCACAATGCAAATTAGACTGAAACCTGGTTATCACTGACTCAAATGAGGGAGAAGATGAGAAGTAGCCATGACGTTCCCATCAAGACCATTCATCTTATTAGAAAGTTTCTTATCTTCAATGCTTCAGCAACAATTGCATCCAGGAGATAGAGGCAATGAGCAAACTTGTTACCCTGAATGAAGATGCTGTTACAATAAAGTATGACTTGTAAAAATCTTACATTTTGTCAAACATTCACTCAATTTGTGATTTGTCCTCAATGTCAAGTATTTTTAAGTGCCAAATATTAATATATGAAAATAAGCAAAATACAGCCATGAATCAAATAACAGTGACAAAATCAGATCTCATACAAAGATGTGAACATTTTACAGATTCCAACGTATGTAACTGACCCCAGAATGAAAGAGATTTACACAAGTAGCTTCTTTAATATATATTTATCTTTTCTCCTAAACACTGAAAGAATCAAGTAAACTGTCCATATAAGACTACAGATTACAGTCACTTGAAACAATATATACTATCAAGAAAATACTGTGTACACAATTATAGTTCTCATTTTGAGCTTATTGGCACATTGGAAAGTAAAAACTTCCTTTGTTTTCTGGCACATACATCTAATCAGGAAAGCAAGGCGGTGCTCAACTTAAATCATACATTAAATACAGCATGAGTATTTTATATAGATAAAAGGCAGAGGTAGGAAGGAAGCACAGGCTACAAATGTCTTTCCAATTACCTTTACTGAGTGAATGCTATTCAGAAAAGGTGAAAGAAAGGATGATTGCTAGGTGTGATGGAACACTTGATAGATTCCAAATCTACGTATTTACAGCTATAAATAGGTAAAAGGTTGAAAGGCTTGGTAATTGTGAGAAAGAGATAGAGGAGGTGCATGCACAGAAAACAAACTTAACTGAGGAATAATGAGAACATTAAAGTGAACCAGAAACATGGTTCAACCCAGATCATTGTTTCTACTATAAAGGTGTGTGCTTGAGTAAGCTTCACTGAAGAGTGAGCATTGTTATCTAACCTTCCCCACCCCAACCCAAAACTTCTCACCAAGACATGTCAGTATGCTGTAAAATATGGAGAGGATATGATACTCGTGTGACCCCTTTAATCTTCTCTGCTGTATGTCATGAGAAAGGTCATGTGGTGTTGCTGTGATGTTTTCTTACATTTGTAGAGTTCAAGGTCTGCAACAGCGTAAACATCATCCAGAAAGAGATGTCGTTCTGGATGTATGTGTAAACATACTGTAAAGGGTTTCAAGATTGTGTAGGAACAGGAGACACAAACTGAATATACTACTCAGTGTTATTATAATACAAGTGGTAACCCAATAAGAAACGTTTATTTAATTTTAGAATGTTTACTGCTGGCTTTAAAATAACATAGATTGGAAAATCTAAGCTCCAATGTCTCTGGTATCTGTTGAATGAAGCAGCACTGGCACTGATGGAAAATACTTACTTGGTTGGCAGTTGCTTTCACTGCTGCAGAAATTAAACAAACCACCAACTGATATAGCCGTCAAATTTCACTGAGCCACTAGTTACTAAATATTCCCTTAGTCAAACTAAATTTATTTTTCTTTATTCATTGACAGGATGAGGGTGTCGCTGGCTAGGCAGCATTTATTGTCCATCCCTCATTGCCCAGAGGGCAGTTCAGAGTCAAACACATTGCTGTGCGTCTGGAGTCATGTGTAGGCCAGACTACGTAAGGATGGCAGTTTCCATCCCTAAAGCACATTATTGTATTAACCTTAATCATCCCATACATCTTGCTTAGTTACCTGACAAATAAAGAAAAAGATTTTGTTAAGCTAGAATGAAATTTATCAATGAATGTTAGTGCTAACTAATTAACAACATATCAATGTTATAAAAGCTTAGAATCACTGAGCTGGAACTGTACACACTTAATTCATCTTGATCTAGCTTCTTTAGACTGAGGTACAAAGTGCAATTAACTCAACTATGTGAGAAAATACTTCTCTCTACTGTTTGCTAAAGGAAGTCAGTAAAGTGTACCTACAGTTTCCTCAATATGAATTAAGGGCCTGTATGTGCAGCTCAGGGGTATAATTGAACACATCAATTCATAGTTTTGGTAATAATTTGTAAACTATTTCCCATTAGGTTATAAATGTGATTGAATATGTTGTGTAGCCTGTAGGCAAGGTACCTATATTATAATGGTTTGAAAGGTAAGAGATTAATTGCACACTCTTCTGGTCTCCTCTAGATCAAAAATGAATGACCTGTGCAAATACATGCATTCCCATGGCCTCACGACATTACAAAGCACTCTACAACCAACAAAGTACTTTTGAAGTACAATGATGGTCTGAATGGACACTTTTCCAAAGTAGTGCCATGGGATCTTTTATGCCCTTCATAATAGAGGATGGGTCTTGGTTTAACGTCTTTTCCAAAAGACAGTACCTCCAACAATGTAACATGACCTCAGTGCTACAGTGGAGCATTAGCCTAGATTTTATGCTTAAGTCTCTGGAGCAGGACCTGAACCTATAGTCTCTGACTGTTAGATTACAATTAGCTTCAAATGCAGTTAATAAAATGCACAATATTAATTGGGCGATATCTCAATTGCCCGGACTAGATTAAACCCCATATTGAAAACTATAAAAGAACAAATTTAGATGATAAAGAATGACGTTAGGACAGAATGAAAAAGGGAAATGGATAGAAAGGAGAACTAGGAGAGAGGCAATATAATTGTCAACTTTATAATGGCAATACCTGCTCTGTTATATTATATACTTCCATGTTATCAAGATTTCACATTATCAAGCAAATGCAATGGAATCTACATAAATGTGTATCACAGCCAAGCACACAATCCCATCATGACCATTCCCATCATGCAAGCATTCCGATATAAACATAATTCTGTTCCAGAAATTGAAATTGAATGGAACATTTTCATCTCTTTCCATGGTATTGAAATTCCCAATCTGATCAAAATTTGGATCTAAGCACAGCATCTCTTGGCAGAAACCCATTCTGGGTTTGTTAGATTCAGACTGGAATGCACACTGTACAATTTAAGCACTTAACATGTAACTTGATACATCAATGCAATTGTAATGGGTTTTAAAGAGCCACCTTTGGCTCCAAGAACATAAGGTGACCCATTCTGTTACAACTTCGTTTGTGGGATGATACAGGTACCACAGCAGCAAAGGGATACGTCATCTGCTTGTGCTGTTCTATATCTCTTTACGCTAAGCGCTGCAGATTTATGAACATCTCCCTTTTTTGTCAGATTATTTTAAAGTTTTGCGTGCACATTTTAACTCCAAGCCTAAAATGGGTGCAAATTTGGCCATGAGCCCATGAAAACTGCATTTGGAGGTCCTGCCACAGGCAGAAACCTCAATTTTCACATTGAAGCTTACTCCTGCCTTATTTTGACAGGCATGATGAGTGTCAAAAGGGGGTGCGTCAGATATCTAACCACTCCTATTCTGTTAAAAAAGTACTTTTCTGCTCAGAGAAATTTCTTCTTTTCTCTAATTCCTCCAATCCAACAAGTGGGTCAAGGTTTGCGCAGCATTTCTGATTTTGCTAAGTTATGTCCATAACTCTGTTAAAGACCCATAATGCAACAGAAGCAGTGGATCAATGCTTCAGACACTTGTAGCACCTGGTTTAAAAAGGTGTGTCAGGCAATCAAGGTGAAAAGATGATTGGAAAGCTGCCGTATTTGGATGGTTCTCAACTCTGTATCAGATTCTTATTTCTGCCAGGATTTCATATACTGCAGCCTCTAATACCTAATTGCCCCTTTAATTCCAAAACTGATTTTTCAAAGAAAAAAAAGAATTAGATATATCTTGAAATGGAATCACAGACTTTTAAACAGCTACTGCCACCCAATAACCCATGTCCAGAATCTCGGTGCCCTCTATGCACAATAAAAGTACTGTCTAACAATTAAAAGACTGGCTTAGTCTTGAGGGAATAGTCAGCTTGTAGCCCCTCAGATAGGGCCAGTGTATAATGTCTAATGTCTACAACTTTCATGAACACATCACAATCTCTTCAAAACCTATGCAACTTCTTGATAACAACTGTTCCGAGTTGGTTAATCCCCACTCAAACAGTACATAATCAGATAAACAATAGGTTATAGTATATCTTAAAGTTGTATCAATAGATTTGGAAAGATGAGCATTTGACACATCAATAATATGTTCAAATATTCCTATGGTTTCATGCATGCCTGATACTGTGCTGGGCATGCACACTGTATCGTTGATTTTCTCATGCTGACTCTCTTCTGCAGCAGTGCTGATAATGAAGAGTGCATCTGAGTGTGATATTGATAGACAAATCATCATTACAAACAAGAAAAACTATTTCAATGACAGACCACTTTTTGTGGATGGATAAAAACATCTAATTATCTATTTGTATCCAATAGCTGCAGCTGTGCAACTGGTTTAGAGCTTCAGTAAAATTAACTTAAATATATGTAATATACCTTTTGTCTGTGCCTTCTGTAAAAACTATACTGGAAACTGCTTACTATGGGGAAAAGTTTGTTCCAATTAATACATATATGAAATAATATACGGATATCAAAACATTAGAAACACAGCCAATAAAATTACAAAGCTACCAAATCCAGTGATCAGTGTAATTCATATCTCCAATATAGTTTTGGCTTGGTAAACAGTGAGTTACTTTGAAATATGTGCTGTAACAATATGGGCATTACCTTCAGCTTCTTTCTCTAATTGTTCTTTTGTGTTACTTAATAACTATTCTGATACAAAACTTTTCTGATGTTGATAAAACACAGTGCTATGGTGTTGAGTAGACAAGCACAAACAGATGTTCAAAAGAAATGAGACCCAGAGAGAAGAAAAACTATATTGAGACAGGGAAACATTTTGATCAGCTATCAGTTGTAATGACAGACAAATAGTGTGTATATAAAGTACTGCATTCCACAAAATGACAAAAAGCAACCAATTTCTGGAAAAAAAAATCAGGTTTAAATATTAAGTTATGAGATTCTATTGATAACTATAAAAAAAAATGAAAAGGGAAAGAAAAACACACATACCTGAAAAAATCAATTAAGTTGTGTTGACTACTTGTCAAATTCCATAGATCAGATAAGAAATTAAAGGGAATGAACCTTTCAGCATAAGTAAAGGCTCTATTTCCCAAACCCACCCTCCTAACACCCAATTAATTGTCTTCTTTGATTTAAAAGGACTTTGACTACACATTAAGCTCCTGCGTTCTGGCAGAACCATTACTGCCCTGTATGGTGAGGTTGTGATCTATATTTTCTGTTGGTATTTTCTCCTTTTCTCGCTCTTTATCTGGATTCAGTTGTTGAATTTCCAGACTGAACTCGTACGATGGGCTGCCAACTGTTGCGTATCGATCAGTGCGGTGCTCTAATAAAGTTGGTCCCCAGTCCTTGCTTGGTTTATTTGCATTCTTCACACGCTGGGAAAGCAAGAAAGAGATATTGAAGCTGAACTTCTTTACTGAGCTGTGTGAACTGATATTAGAACACAGGAATTCTGATTACCACATAATTGACTCGCCAAGTTAGCTTGAACACAACTATTATTTAATACCAGGACTATTCTGCTGTATCCAGTTTCTCCACTAATTCAATTCATGGAGAAGGAAATCTATTTTAAAGTGGATATTTTACTCTGAGCAGACACCAATTCATTTTGAATAATCATAAGCAGCTTTAATCAGATCACAAGTGGCCAATTTATGCTATGGTTAGCGAAAATGTATCTGAAAAACATAAATGCTCTAATAAGAAGTCTTTTTAAATCAATTTAAAAATGGATTAAAATGGTCTGTTTTATTTTGCCACTGATAGCAAATCTAATCAATCTTGACTTCAAGAGCTGAGCACTGTGAAGTGGGGGCAGTAACTCTATCTTCTGGCATTTGTCATGGTTAAGCTTGTCTCCTCTTAGCCAGGTCACTCTGCAGCTATTTACAGCTACTGGGCTGTTTCATAGTTCAAGTAGGCACTTCTGCACTCCCTCCTTGTGGAAATATTTCCACCTCCAATTGGCTAATCAAATGGCTGCCAAATCCCAATCCCACCAGCACTTTTGGAAGAGGTGAACAGTGTCGGGACTGCAGCAAGTCTACAATGTTCAGATGTTTATAGAGCCTAGGCAAAGGAAAGTCCAGGGTCTCACTAGGATCGGGCTGTCAGGCCCCAGTGGGGGAGGGGTAAATGGGGAAGTGAGGGTAGGGGATGGTCTTTGCAGTAAATTGTGTTGGACCAATGCTTGAGAGGGGGAGGGGAAAGAATAGCTCCTTAAAGAGATAACATTTGGGCACCGAGTGCTTGACAAGAGAGACCTTTCCTTCAGCTTGCAACAAGGCTTCCTGATTTCGTCAGGCAACATCACCACTTAGTGCCAGACTTCCCTGCCTAAGGTAAAACCTAAGTGGTGATTCAAGGAAGCCCTTAAGAGGCCATTAATTGGCTACTTAAGGACCTCAAAGAGCCCACTGGTGACTCAGTCACCTGATGCCTCCCCTGCTATGGGTAAAATATTTGCAATTTAGGTATCCGATGGGCACAGCATTATTGCTATGGTGGTTAATTTTATGAACCAAGCCTGAGTTTTCAGTTGAAGCAAATGCTTGTATTACAATTGTTAGACTCTATGGTAACTTTATTACAGGAATATTAACATATGCAAACCAAGTAGATATTTAATAATAAATTTAGTGGAGAATAAAACCTCAAGATTTCATTTATTTCTCCTTGTTGTATTACTTAACTTGTCCCTTTCTCCCCAGCATTACAAACTGTAACATATCCATTTTATCTTCAGTACTGTATTCTGTTTACTTGAAATAAACACATGCATTTATATAGCGCCCTTCATGACCTCAGGTTGGCCCAAAGTTTTAGAATTAGAATTAGATTTTATTGTCACATGTACTCAAGTTCAGGGATACAGGAATGCAGTGAAAAGTGTAAAGTGTTGCTTTACAGCCAACTAAATAGCTTTTTTTTAAACTTGTGGGCAATGTTGTAATGTAGGAAATATTCTTGCACACCGAAAATTACTGATAATAGCTGGATCATGTTTTTGTTGATACTGATTCAGGAATAAGTCCTGGCCAGGATACTGGAGTTAACTTCCCTCTCTTCTTGAGAAGTATTGGCATGGAATCTTTTCTGTCTACCCAAGCGGGCAGACAGAGCCTCAGTTTGACATCTCAATGAAAAATGCCATCTCTGACAGTGTTTCACTCCATTGGGGCTGCACTAAAGTGCCAGTCTAGTGCTTTCTGCTTAAGTGCTGAAGTAAGTCTTGTATGCACAACAATCTGACTCAGTAGTGAGAATGTTACCAGCCAAGTCATGACTGCCATCTACGGATGTTAAGAATTTGAAGCAATGGAAACAGTGAAGAATAGGATCATACAGTTAATCTCTAATATCACAGGGTTGATATATAGTAGGAGTTTGCAAATACTGAAATGTTTTCACTTGGAAAGGAGGCAACATAATGTAAAATATATTAAATTGTAGGAGTAAAGCTTGTCGATTTTTACTTTGAAGAATGACAAAATATTAGAACAAGGGCTAGGATTATTGAAAGGAATCTTTAAAAGCCTTGTCTGGCATCAACTAATTGCTGCTTTGATATATTTTGTTTTCTCTATTCATCATTTAAGCTACCATAGTGTCTTTCACTTAATTTTCTCAAATTAAAACTGCTTGTTACTTCTTCTTGGCATATATAATACAATCAATTTGTTATCTTATCTACTCACCTCCAAAAATGTGGAACCTTCAGACATGCATATCTTCCAGATGGCATAAATGGGGATACAGATTACTGAGGACAAAGCCATCAAGAAACCGAGAATGATAGCCCAGGATGGGTAGATGTAGTCATTGTAACTGATGGGCTTATACTGGACCACAGTGAAAATCAGTATGAACTGGAAAAATCAAACAAATGTATAAATGAGTTCACTCACATCTAATGGTTTCATTTAGTTAACCGTGATCGTGATAAAAGCAGATTCTACTTAAGATTTTAAGTTTTCTCAGGGTGAGAATTTTTTTCTTTTCATTTAAATAAGCTCAAATCAGTCCTGGAACAAGCTATCTCTTCCAAAAGCATTTTTTTTTCTTTTTAGTCTGCAATATCTGTCTACTAATGAAAATGTTATAGATTTTACACAGTCACTGCAATGTTCTTTCTTGCATTCACTACTTAAAAGGATATGTTTAGAAGTAACTTATTGGTGGGCAAATCCTAAGTCAGTTTGTTGCAATGGGTAGTGGTAAAGAGAAGTCCTAATAAAAGAAATACGTAGCATGATCAGCCTTTAATTGGCAGACTGAACTTTGCTGTGGGTATGAACTGGTGATGCACAATCAGAAAGGTAAAGCTACACTGACATGGTAATGTAGCACACTATCATCCCTGCACATAGTACAACACCGCAGGGTCTCAAATCATAATCATTCCTTATGTTAGTCCCTGATATGGCAGTGGTATGAAGAGAGATGATTAACAGGAAACTGCAGGAAGAGGGGGAAGAAAGTGGGCCATTTCTGCTCCTTCCTCAGCAGCCAGTTCAAGTTCCACTTACTCTTGAGGCGTGTAATAATATCTGAACTGGCCGATATGAAAATATCTAAGAATGAAGCACGCACGGGCTAGAAACAGCCACCAGCACATGAAGAATGGTATGATGTAGTGAAATATTTAATCCAAGGAAGATGAAGAATTGTGCATTTTTCCTTCAGTCATTCATTTGTGGGATGTGGGCACCACATTAATCCCCCATAACTAGTTGCCCTTGAGAAGGTTGTGGTGAGCTGCCTTCTTGAACTGCTGCAGCAGCTGAGCAACAACAGGATTCTTATTGTTAATTTTCATACTAGAATCCCCCTCAATAAATGTAAACTTGATTATCTCAGAACATTAAAGGAACTTTCTACAAACTACAGTGGAGGCATTAAACAGTTGGTACTCCACATATGTCAGGTCAATTTAATATCTAGTAAGATTAGGGAAGGCAGTAGTTTCCATTCCAATATCCAATGTCAGTATCATGCATTTGCAAACTGGGTATACATCATGGAGATCAACCCACAACTGGAGTCAGATATTCCTTACTCCATCTCAACAATATATTTCAGTTATCTACCGTGGAATAGCCATCCCCTATCTCCAATGCAGTACAACTGTATTTTTCAATTCCTAAACCAAGCATCCTTTTGGGTAGTTATCTAAATAATGCCAACCATTTGAAAATTATGTCCTTTTCTGTTTTTATGGAGGTTCCAAATTTACACATAAATTTGTGAAGTAAAGCTTGTGATTCATTTCTCCCTACATCCACATAGACTTTAAAGAGAAAAACCTGTTTCCTCAAGTTTGGATATAGAATCCATACTCTGAAATTGAAAGGACAGGACTGGAAACTCAAAGCATTTAAAATCAATGTCATTTCTTTGTGAAAACATGAGACAGTACTTCATACCGGCTCTGCAAAAATATAACAATTACTTACAAATATAATACTGGGTGACACAAAACGCCAACAGATTTGAAAGAAGATTGGAGGTGGAAAGCCAAGCATCATCTGAACATCCTTGAAATAGTTATTATGTCCTGGGACAAGAGATAGATAGTTAATGTAGAGTTTCCAGAACAGCCCATCTGTCCTTTTCTTTATGTTATATATTGCATCATCAATTAATGATGGCAATAATTGCATTAAATTCCATCCTAAAACATGTAAAGGATAAATTTGTAAGCAACTATGCTAATAATTTTTGTGTCTGCTTTCAAAATTGAACTATAATAAAAAGTCCTATTTGAATCTGGAACATCACTGTGTTTGCATGTCAATTGAATATGCTTTCTGAAGTTCACTGATTGTAACTTGGACACCAACTAAATATAAAATTGATGAGTAATCAGCACAGTCTGTCAGATTTTCTTTATCTTTCTCTCACAGATGCACAGACAGACGATGACTTTTCTTAAAAAGGCACAATATAATTTTCCTTGAATGAGTAAACTTCCAATTCACTATTCTTTTTCCCAAACAGCTTTGGTAAGCAGCCAATCAGATTTTTGTTGGATGCCATCACTTTGTTAGTTTGAGTGCTACAGAGATGGCATATTCTGTGGAGAGAAAGCAGAGTTAACGTTTCAGGTCCGATGACCCTTCTTCAAAACCTGTTCTGTTCTGAAGAAGGGTCACTGGACGCAAAACATTAACTTGGCTTCTCTCCACAGATGCTGCCAGACTTGTTGTGTTTTTCCAGCAATTTCTATTTTTGTTCCTGATTTCCAGCATCTGCAGTTCTTTAGTTTTTTGATAAGTGGGTGCAGGACTTGTGCATTTCACAGTCAGTACTGCACATCTGCCATCAGCTAAAATTTTCCCTTCTGATCAATTACATCAAGGTCAAATTATTTCAGAAGAGTCTGAAATGCTTAAATAAAGCCTTTAGTAGAAATGCTAAGATACACCAATGAATTTCACTAGAAGAATATATACTTGTTTATCAATTTGTATCTTTTGTATAAAGTCCTTTTTCAGTAATAGATAGGAGATAACAAGGTGTAGAGCTGGATGAACACAGCAGGCCAAGCAGCATCAGAGGAGCAGGAAGGCTGACGTTTCGGGCCTAGACCCTTCTTCAGAAATTCTAGGCCCGAAACGTCAGCTTTCCTGCTCCTCTGATGCTGCTTGGCCTGCTGTGTTCATCCAGCTCTACACCTTGTTATCTCAGATTCTCCAGCATCTGCAGTTCCTACTATCACTGAAAATATGACTTTTTTTTTGAAAAAGCATTTTGAGTGATGCAATTTATTGCGGAGTCCTGTTCACATATTTTTTCTTGTTATGAAATACCTACATAAATGCTAATGCAAAATTTGTAAGTTTTCAATATCATTTGAAATGGATAAGTACATATTTTGTGATGTACAGAAATATATCAGTGGACCTGCTGTTCTCTCATGTTAACTTTTAGTAGAATATAAGAAGATTCCTTTTGTATCTTCTCAAAGAAGGCTGAATATTACATTTCCATCAACTTCAGAGTAGCAATGCAATTGGCAGCTTCAGATGCCACCATAAACATTACCAACAAAGTTAGCTTTTACTATGGACACCAGACGAATGCAAGAACTGTATTTTGAGGAAGACCTTCAGTCCACCAAGTGTGATAGTTTTGCATATCTAATACATTTTGTCTGAAAACATGTGCAATATTTAGTTCTCCGGTTTTCGAAGCAATAACAGCTGTGCACTGCTTGTCATGCTGAGTCTATTTATATTAGATCAGCTTGGTCTACATTGTGGCAGCATAATTCTTCGCTGATACTTACCATAGATGTACATAATAGCGATACACATAATGCAGGAAATCACAACGAGTGAAAAACTGGCTGCATAGTTATCCATGAGGAGGAGCCAGTAAATGCCAGCCTGCAGCAGTCAGACACAAAGAAATGGCATGAATATTTCCTGCGAAAATGAATCCACTCTGAGGTGTGGGTTTTAATCATAGCTGGTTTTAAGAACCCAGTACCTCTTTACAGTCACTGTATCTAACAGTTAATATCTTTCAAATTAGCTTTTAATTTAATTTGATAATAGACACATTTTCTTCTAGTATTAAATACTCCTATTAAAACATTTTTGATTATATTTGCACAAATTGAGGCCAAAAGGGCTCATATAGCACTGAAGCATATTTAAAGCATTAGACACAGATGTAATATTTTAAAATCTGATGCAGGAGTAAATTACTCAGAGGAACCAAGAGAGGTTTAAGCATATGGTTAAAAAAATTGCAAAGTCTTAAAGAAGGAAAAAATCTGAATTAAACATAACTTATTTTTGTAAAGGAAAGAAAAGGGACGATTTAGTGCTATATGAAATGTGCCTTAAAATATTTAAGGAATCATGAGAGTTGATCTGATGCAGCAAACCATTTCTAACTAGGTCCAATAACAAGTTGTTCAAACTGGTAATTTTTTTCTGTTAATATGAATGGAATAAAGCACTGTATGGCAAATGTACATTTTCAATGGACTTACTTGGGTAGTCAGTGGGATTCCCAGAAGAAAGCCAATAATGGCAACTGCCAGAGTCACATAGGATTTTTGCCTACGAATCCAATCACTGCCAATCTCATCAACGACTGCAGTGACTAACGTCTCCAACAGGCAGAACTGGGAAGGAAACAAAAGCATTACTATTTATTATACACATTATTCTATACCATATAGGGTAAATGGCACGATCTGATGTAACTTATATATTAAATATGTGCACCTATCTCAAAATAATATGTCATTTTATAAAAAAGGCATGTATACTCAGTAGATGGTTGGAAGTATTTATGTAGTGACTAACTAGGGGAGTAATTTACCTCAAAGTGAATCCTTGGGTCAAATCCCATAAGTATTTACACTTCCTGTTTACAGTGTGGTTTACTGCCTAAGTACTGCTCTTCTGTGTAAAAGAAGTTCCTTGGAGCTGCTCCAGCTCAGGCATCCACCACACTTCAGTTAAGTAAATGAAGTATTACCAAATAAGTGTCCTCAGTGGAGTATAACATGGAACAGTGTGCAGCGCAATATGACAAATAGTAAATATTGCACATAAATTACATTATACAGCACAGATACTATTAAATATATAAAGGAAAATTGTGTACTGTGCAGTGTAATATAAATTGCAGAATATAATTAAGTATACTATGTGGTATAACAGTGCAAATATCACATTGTGTATATTGGACACTGTATACTGTACTTTAACTTCATTTCAATATAAATTACATTATTCAGTGTAATTTACATTATATAACATAATTCACAGCAACTTATGCTATACATTATGTATGCAAACTGCAGCTTAAATGACATAAAACAAATTACATAGTGCATTTTAATTCCTAATATTCATATATTAATCCAGCACAGAAGGAAGTAATTCAACCCATTAAGTGCATGCTGGTTCTTTGAACAATCTATCTACTTTGTCCCATTTCCCACCCTTTCCCTTGGCTCTGCAGTTTTCCCTTTCAAGTATTTATCCAATTTTCTTTTGTAAGTCATGATTGGATCTGCCTCCACCACCCTTTCACATAGTACATTTCAAATCAATGCACACATAAAATAATTTCTCCCCTCGTCTTTGGGTTCCTTTGCCAATTGCCTTAAACCTGCATTGCTGGTTAACAACCCATTTGCCAATGAAAATTGTTTCTCCTTGGTCACTCTATCAAAGCCCGTCATGATTTTGAATGCCTCTATTAAATTTCTCCTTAACCTCTGTCTTTCCAGGTAACTGAGATCCCTCATCTCTGGTCTCATTCTAGTAAAGAAAAGGATTCTCCATCTTTCCTAAAGTATGTTGACCCAATTTGGACACAACACTCCAGCGATTCCGCTGTACGGGGGGAAAAAAGCTGGTGATACCTCAGTACTAACTACAAGATGCCAACATGTTATCTCACATGTATCAAAGTGTGCTCTCAGATGGTGGTTAGAAATGATTAAACATAATATTGCTATTTAAAAATATATTATCTATATCGTATTGGAACCTGGTTGTGAGTAAAATTATGTGTGGTTATTGATGAGATGTTAATGACATTGATTGTGACTCAGCCCAGGCATCATGTTAATGGTACTGCAGTATACGTTTTTTTCCTCCCTGGGGCGGTTTAATTTTTTTTTATGCAATGAAAGTGGCCTTAGTCTCTGGGCTGATGCCCTAATCTGCACAGCCATGTTGAATGTTTCACAAAATTGTGACCAGTTGTGTCAGGTATTTCTCCATCTCCATGGAAACAAAGTACCGGACTAATAAAAAAAATGAAAACAAAAATATTTTGTACAATGAAAGGGCTGACATTTCTCACCACCTTCATTGTATAAATAGCAGCATAATGCAATATTTATACAATTCATGAATCCAACGGACATAACACTCTTTTAATTTCCTCATGATGTGTTACCTGGTTGGCTTGTATAAATATCGTATCGCAGGCTACCCATGGGTATGATCTTTAAAAAAACACAAGAAAGTGGGTGAATTTTTTTGCGCTCATTAAGGCGTGGGCTGTCAGTGCTGGGGTGTTCACTTCTTTTCACGCTTCACACTCAATGTCAGCATTAAGTGCTCCCAGGATAACGACAGCATGGAATAGTTACCCAGTAAAGTTTCCTACACTTTCCCAACTCATGTTTTATATTCTCAATATCAAAAAAAAAATCACCCCTATTACACCAGTAATTCCCGCTTCCCACCCGAGGCATCACTTTTACCTCTGACAAACTGCCAGACAGAAGAGATTTCCATCCCATTTGTCTGGGGTGCATTTGAGTCAAGGTCCCAAGGGTGAAAAGGCATTTCTGTAACTTCACCGTACACCCATTCCTTCAGTCATAAGACATTTTCCATATATACCATTGAATATACAATATTTCATTGCAATAAGTGCTAAAGTATGAAGATGAATTGCTTCTTGTTCTATGATGAGAATGTAAATGTCTTCAACAATTCTTAAATCATATTAATGTCAAATTTATCTTAAAACCATTTAATCTTGTAAAAACAGCAATCTTAATAATAGAGATGTGTTAGTGTCATGAAAATGAAGCATTATTTGAAAATGAAGTCATGATATTTATTACATAGAATTGCATAGATTATATCACTCAGAAAAGGCCATTCATCCTGACTGGTCCACGGTGTCAGTTTTGCTTCACTTAGGCCTCTTCCAATGCTTTCTCGTTTAACTCAAATAGCGTAAAGCCACATTCTCTGCTCCCTTGTTTACTTATCCAGATGAGCTTAAATGCATCCATACCATTTGTTGCAACAACTAGCTCTTCCCACCACACTCTTCTTTATTCCCTTTTAGATCTCCTGGTGATTATCTTCTATTGAAAGCCTTTTAATTTTGCTTATCCCCATCAGTGAAAACATTTGCTCTGTCCCTATTCTATAATGGTTTTCATAACTTTAAATGCATCTATTAAGTACTTTTAAGATCTTATTAATCCATGTCACTCTGTTTAGTGATTTATGGGTTTATACGCCAAGATTTATGTATATTCCTTTACTTCAACCCTATTTATGATATTTTCCAAGATGTATATGACTTTTCTCTTACCAAAATGTAACATCTCTCATTAATCTGTGTTGAAATTACTTTACTAATTATATAACATAATTTACAATAACATATGGTGTTTTCAAATTTCAAGACTGGATCATTGATTTCATGCAAAACACACAGGATCTAACTACTTTTTCTCCAACCATGCAAAACAGCCTTGTTTTACTTTTAAGCGGAGTCGCATCATTGAATTTCATTGAAGCTTCTGCAGTGTACAAAGCCAAACAGAAAGAAGAAAACTAAACTCTGAATGCTTGCCCCCAGAGTGTTTTATCCAATGCAGTTTTCATCAGTTTGTCAATTCTTCGTTCTAATTGACAACTGCTATTCAAGGGAACATAGTGTTAGGTGTCACTTACCTGCGTACCCAATCCCAGCAGAATCAACATGAAGAAGAAGAGAAGGGACCAGAAGGGTGAGATCGGCAGCAACGTCAGGGCTTCTGGGTAGGCCACAAAGGCCAGTCCAGGACCATGATCCGCTACTTCCGACACGTTGACCCCCAGATGTGCAGCCATGAATCCAAGAATGGAGAAGATGACAAACCCAGCATAAACACTGGTTGCGCAGTTAGTAATACTGATAATAATACTGTCCCTGCAGCAGCAAGAAGAAAAACAGTAACAGATAGAAGTGAGATTACATGTGTGATTGAAAGAATTAAAGCACTGAGAGAATTTAACACCAAGCACCTTTCAAGTACCACTACCTACTATTATATCTACAATATACTATTATATCACACCGTAATTGAGGGTCTGAAATGGTGCAGTGCCTTTAACAATTCTCCACCAGATATGATGGAACCCCTAAGGAAGTGGCAACACATTTCAGTCACTGCTAGGAGTTTCTGCAACACCTTATATTGTATTCCCTTTCACAAGAGAAATAATGAGCAGGGGTGAGAGGAGCCTTCCATGGACCCTTGCTCCTTAGTCCTGACTTACTGCAGTAAAATGGGCCCTAAAATTTGCTCCAGAGGTAGGGTTATGTAATTGGGTCAGGTCTGCTGACTCCAGAAGCAAAGCATTAATGACTTTGGTGCTAAGGTGAGTGGGTGCTGAGGTGGGCTTATTAGAAAACCCTCCTCGATTCTCAGGGAATTTGTTCCAGTTGTGTTGGAACATGTTGGCTCTCTAGACCTCATTCTCCCACACACTTCACCATAGATTCATTACCTGTCATATACCCCTGATCACTCCAACTGGCCCTTTACAGTTTTTACACTAACTTAATATCTTCTTGTGTCATTCAATATGACCCCTTATACTGTCCATGCCAACTCAGGCCACTTTTACCCAATGTCCACTCTGTACATAACCAATGAGCCAATAGCATGCAGGTGTATAATTAATAAATAGCATGTCATCACATGTGGAACTGTTGAAAGAGAAAAAAAACACCAATTCTCAAATTTTCCTTGCGTTAAAACAACTTCTCCAACACCCATATAAAAGTATCAATTTGAGAGGCCATTCAGGTATCAATAATACAGACTTCAAATAGTTCACAATGTTGTCCAAATAACACTGAGACTTTGGGAAGAGATCTCAGAAAAAATGACTTATCCTAAACATTTAATGATGTCAATCAAAATCAACAATTCACTTCAGTTGTCAAAACAGAAACCTCTGCTTGGTGATCTTGTTCAGAGGCACTGGGCTTGTTACGGGGGCTTGGAGCCAACTACTGTAAGTTAGAAGCTTGCAATCACCGGATAGTTGCCAAAAGTAGCGTCTGCAGCAGTATTGTAACCTGAGTACTGACAGGATCAAGAGGCGAGAGACAACATGATACTATAAATTTGTCCATGACTTGCACTTTCTGGTTTATTCGCTGCATGCACCTGTGTTGCTTTTCAGATCTGTCTTCCCAAACAGCTCTAAATTTATACACTGTAAAATATGCATATAAGCTTCCAGCACAAAATGCACCGAATTTATTGATTATTCATTTTAAAATACATCAGTAATGAATAAATAAATTACAATAATATTAGAAATAAACCTCAAAATGTAAAACTGCCACATTGTTGATGACAGTAGGCCTTAAAAAATGATTGTTAGAATCACAGAACCCCTAGTGTGGAAGCAGGCCATTTGGCCCATCGGGCCCACAACACCCCTCTGAACAGCATCCCACCCAGACCTACCACCCTACCCTATCACCCTGTATTTCCCATAATGAACCCACCTAGAGTGCACATCACTTGTCACTTTGGGCAATTTAGCATGGCCAATCCACCTGAGCTGCAGACTTGTTGTTTAATTGTAGAACATCCTATCTCTATTTCCCATTATTACGTATCCTAATACGGGGAGATTTTGTAAGGCATTGAAGTTCTGGATTTGAGTCGCATTTCAGGACTTGATGCCTTTGAAAAGTGCTTCCATAATGTAGTGAATAAGTTGATTGTTAACCCAGAAATCCTTCCTATATATAGTTATGGCATTTGGTAAGAGCAGCATAGTCTCCTTGTCACTCAAACTGTGCAGTAGCTGCATTGTAACAACTTTCCGTGCCAAAAGCTTAGTTTGTTTTGAGGGACTGATTGTGTAAATGTCCTAAGTTACCTGTAACTATTGCATCATTGGATGCATTCACATACATTCCATGCTTGCAGTAGTAGTGCTCTCTGGATTGCCAAAAGTGTTCCAGTGAAAAGACTTTTTAAAGTCTTTGGAATATGGTCATCACTTGTAAGGCCTGTATTTGCCACTTATCCCTACTTGCCCTTGACCTGCGTGGCTTACAAAGCTATTTCACAGGGCAGTGGGGGACACATTGCTGTAGATCTGGAGTCACATGTAGGCCAGACCAGGTAAGGATGGCAGATTTACTTCCCTAAAGGACATTAGTGAACCAGGTGGGGTTTTTGCAACAATCCAGAATGATTTCACATCACTATTACGAAAATTAACTTTTATTTCCAGATTTAATAATCGAATTTGAATTCTACCAGTGGATGTGGTGGAATTTAAACGCTCGTCCCCACAGTATTAGTTTGAGGCGTGTAGATTAATAGTTCAGTCACACAGCTACTACTCCACTCTCCACCTTACAAGGAGTTGCTCTTACAAGGAACAATGTCTATATCTTGCGATATTAAAGTTGTACTTGCTTCAAAGAAATGTGATTGGCAAACTCTTTTCTAACCTCTGCATGAACATATGAAATGTGAGTCTTGTCAAAAAGAAAGGAATTATCTGGGATGTCACTGCAGCAGATAAGATGTATAGCTCTTGTGGGTGTTCTAACTAACTGAATAAAGAATGATTTACGTTGAAGTTATATCTTCCTGTTTTCCAATCCATGCCATAACATTTTTCAAAGGATAGCTTCATTAAAATTGGACATGAAAGGACTGGTTTGTTTTTCTGTTTCTTCTTTGCATTATTCCTTTCTCAGCTTAGCCCTTGGTGCAGTCTAATCGTAAAATATAACAGGCCATGTTCATATGAATTTACATATTCAAACCAACCATGGGTCTAAACTGAGAAACTTGGTTTTTTTTGGCACTAAGAACAGCAAGAAAATTTAAACCTTCATGAAACAGAACATATTTAAAAAAAAAATAGATTTCTATACACTGCAGAAACTGGGGGTATAGTGAGAGAGTGGGAGTGTGCTGTTGAGATAAAGGATCAGCCATGATCATAGAGAGGTGGAACAAGCTTGATGTGCCAAAAGGCATACTCTTGCTCCTATTTTCTATGATTCTATAAGGTATTAGAAATTAAAATAAAATGCTGTATTTGTTCTGCACCCTAACCTGTAGCAATTATTGTGGAACTTGTTGTACGAGGCCATGGTTATCAGGCCACCCCAGGCACATCCGAGGGAATAAAAAATTTGGGAAGCCGCGTCACCCCAGACCTGGAAAAGAATGAAAAAGAAAATGTCTATTAACAATTTATAAAACATTGGAACGAAGACATTTGCTTTCTTTTGCTCAATTTTCTGTGAGAATTCTTCTTCCCAGAACTTTTCCCCACATGCTAATCTGTACAAGTGGTGGATACTCCACACTGGAAATATGACTTCATAATCAGAGCAGGATCTAGCAATCAGAGATAGTAGGAACTGCAGATGCTGGAGAATCCGAGACAACAAGGTGCAGAGCTGGATGAACACAGCAGGCCAAGCAGCATCATAGGAACAGAAAGGCTGACGTTTCGGGCCTAGACCCTTCATCAGAAATCTAGCATCTAGCAATCTTTTCCCACACTCAAGTTTTTTTCAAAATAAATACATTATCTACCATTTTGTTCTTTAATTCATCTGAATGTATCTATTTATTAGGACCACATCAGTAACAATTTGATCATCATCTGTTAGAGCTATTTTGTAATTGGAAACTTTGACATTGGCAGGAGCATTTGGGGTCAACATACTTTCCCAAACTGTGTGGAATCTTCAAGTTCAGTGAGGGCAGAAAATGATGGGAACAAGTTTTACTGCATCTCTTTTCTGGCGGTGTATAATAAGTGACCAACCCACTACTGCCAAAATTTCATCCATTAGTTTGCCTTACTTCTGCTTAGCTCCATCCCTGATCTCAATGCCCAGACTGAAATTGGGCATAATTATGGCAATCAAGATGACAATTCCTTCTTCTAACAAATGGTGAAATTATGTATATTCCTTTAAGATTTGTGTTGTGTTGTGGGATATTGGGAAACTGCAAGGGTTGGGCTAATTGCAATTGGCTCTTTGCTTCTCTCTTCCAGTGAGTTTGTGACTGGTCTCCATTCAGTCTTTTGCTCCCAATAGTAAAATGCACACTTAATGTGTAACAAAACCATGCGGTGTAATACCATTACATAGTCTTCAGGAATACAGGAGTTTTATGACTGGAATATGATGATGCTGCAAAGCTTGGTCGACTCACCTTTGCATCTAAGATCTTGTCCCACTGAGGCGTGAGATAGTACTTTATTCCATTGACTGCTCCATCCAAAGTAATTCCACGAATAAACAGAATTGTCAGCACAACATACGGGAATGTTGCTGTGAAGTACACCACCTAGAGAAAACAGCACAGTAAGTGCTCATGCTGGATATGGGAAGACTAAGTAATGTATGATTGCCATTCGTCATCTGGCAGTTTTTATGCTCACAATAATGGCGAGGAATAGGACGGTATGAAAGAACAACTGAATCCAACATTTATGCTCAGTAAGTACCAAAATGTGTAGAAAGTAACCACTACTTGTGGAGAAAGGAAGCCTCTTCCTGTTCTAAAATATAAAATGGGCTGTAAGAAACTCTGTTTTGCAAAGCTTCTAAGTAAAACCGTGAGAAACAGAAGAGAAATGTTCCCCCTGGCTCCTTAAGCCTTGAGGAGATGTCTGTAACTCTGGCTCTTCACAGGCAGTACAACATTTGGAATGTGCGATCATCACCTATCCCTCTGTCCTTACAGGCTCCTCCTGTTGCCACATGATGTTTCATTCCCCCAAGTGACTGGTGCTCTGTATTGCAGTGCTGTGGTCAGTTTGCTCATCCAACCTGCCGACATTTCCCTCATCGATACAGACAGCAAAAACCTTATACTGGTTGGGTACAGCCACAGGTGATGCTCCTCTAGCGCTGCATCTGCGATCTCCCTGACTTCTAAACTGGGACAGTGCACTCTCTAAGTCTACTCCAGAAAGTATCTGACTGTTGTAAACCTATTGAAACTGAGGAATGCAGTTCAGCTATTTTTTTTCTTCCTTAGATCCTTCAAACCATTGATCAAGGGATTAACCAGACAATTGGAAAGAATGTTGACTTATTGACCCCTTAAATTTGCAAGCATGCAGCGACTGTTTGGCTGTGGAGAAGCTTCACAATGCATTATCTTTGCATTAATAAATCTTTATTTCCCATTAAAATTAATTTGTGCTTGCCCTCAATAGCTGCAGCTGACTTTGCTCCTCACCCTCTCTTTAGGTGATGGGGTAAAATGGATGATACTGAAGTGCCTGTCCCATGATATATAGAGTCATACACCATAGAAACAAGCCCTGAATCCAACATGTCTATGACAACCAACTAATGCCAAACTACACTAATCCCATTTATGTGCACTTGGTCCATAGCCAACTATTCCTTAGCATTTTTAACATCCCACATACTTTCTTTATTCAAGGAAAACCAGGTAGAGTGTACATTGAGCAGTCAATCTGAGGTGGTCTATTTTATCATGAGACAGAACTGAATCTGCAACATAGTACCTTGCCTTTGTTCAGGGCCTTTAGCTAATGCAGTGCAGACTTGAGGTGATGATGTGAGGAACCAGTACCGAGAGTCGGGGTCCTATCACCATAACAACTGATGTGAGCACAAAATGCTACCGAGTGGTAATCATAAAAGCATTGGAACTTTGAAAAAGAAACTGAAGGGGCAATTTTCGCAATTGCTCATGTAAGTTAACACTTAAGTTATCATACAAGGTGCATAAAATGTCAGTTGGTATTTTTGGAATTTTGAAGTTGAACAATTTAACATTTTTAATACTCTTTTCATATTAATTGAAGAATCCAGACTTTTTTTTTACAGAAAGAATTGAAATTGTTCACACCCTGTAGCCATGATTAGTTTTACTGCCAGATATTTGACAACATAGAACATATTTTGATTTGATTCCTTTCCTTAGTTCAGCAGTTTTGCAACAGGTAGAGATGCAGATTTGAGTGTGGGGTTGGAGAAACCAGATCTGTCCCAGTGATACGCAAGAAGTCCAATGACATTGCTTCCTAATCAATAAAATGCCCAGGTATTTTGTTCTCTTATATCTATCCGCCAGTTTTGCAGTTTAGGACAGAAATGTTTCAAGGACTAAGTCCACAAATGTGCTGTTTTCCTGGATGCATTGTTGGGAAGAGATGTCTCAGCAGTAAGAATCTATCAGCTTTGTTTGTACCTGGTACTGGATTCTTTGGGCTGGATTTAATCCTGCTCATCGTGTCAGAGACTATAGTGACTGGGTCCATGTAATCATATCAATTTCCCAATAATGGGAAAACATCGTATGAATACGTCGGACCTGCCAACGTGGGACATCACTCATTTATGGCAAGATGTCAATTAGGCTTATTTTGAGCCAACTGACATTAATTATTCCTGAACTTAGTGATGAGTCAGGAATTAAATGTAAATGGCATAGATTTCCTCTTTTATGGGCACTTAATGCCTATCAAGATACCCGGCATTGGGAGGTAGGTGGTTTCTGAAAGTGACCCAGCTACTCTTGCCTCTAACCTTCCTGGTTCCCTTCCCATGACTTCCATTCTGGCTTCACTCACCCGAGTCCAGGGATCCATCGCTGATCCTGGAGCACTACCGGCAGCAACAACCATTGCCAGAGGCACTGCTAAAATCCCTGAATACTGGAGAAGGCCCAACTCTAGCTGGTTAAATGCCTAATAGCTTGCTTTCCCCCAAAGAAGTCATGCAGGTTTCTCAATGGTTCCCCAACCAGTGGATTGGATCATTGTCAGCAACAATACGTTCCACCTAACATATCCGATTTGTACAGGTTCAGGGAAGAAGCCTCCACTTGTCATTCTTTGTACAGGAGAGTGGGGCCTGATAAGGAAATTGACCTTGTGATGTGTAAAATTGCTTCTGATCTGGAAAAGCTAGCTTTTCCCTCTTTAGGACACACTTTCACTCCAGTTTTAACTCCCCTCTCCTTCCACCAAATAAGTATCCTTAGCTGCAGTCAGCTAGGCCCATGTTTAAAGACACAATGTTGCCATTTGTGTATTTGTAAATATCAACAGTGCACTTACTTTTCCTGAAGACTTGACCCCTTTAATGAGGCAGAGGAAGACCACAACCCAGGCTACAACTAGGCAACCCAGCAAAGGCAGGCGAATCTCCCCAAAATTACCAATGCCGTTGGATATCCTCAGCACATAATAGCTGTCAATAAATATGATCACAGTCAGATCACAGCCAATCCAAATTCCAAGGCCATCATATTGTATTCACCTCCCCCGAACTCACATGTGACTTTTCTGTAACTTACCTTGGTCTCAGCTTCTACAGAGAACTGGGATTTTTGAAAGAAAAACACATTAAGACAATATCATAATAGGAAACAAATACTTATAGCTGATTTCACCATTAAAAGTGGGAGCATAGCAAGTAAATACTATAACAGTTCATGGCAATAAGAGCTGAGACACATTTTCTGCAACATTAGAAAACGGTATTCCACACCGAAGCTCTAAATTAGTAAGTATATTTTATGGGCAGGATTTCTGATAAGCAACAATGTTGCAGAATGATTTACTGTGCAGTATTTAAAATGTGCATGTGGTTGGAGTTGTCACTAAGCATCCATATGCTGCTAGTCCCAACAGGCCTCAAAATGTGGCAGGTGGATACCTATTCTGGAAGAATTTTGGGTGATGGAATAGTTCCAAGTCGGTTACAGCATTAGAATCATGCTGGGATCCACATCTGCTGGTTGGCAGGTCAGAATACCTGCTTTCACTCTGTATACTTGGTTGACTGTTGCTCAGCCAAGCTCAGGAACAAGCAAACTCTCAGCCTGGGAGACGTCTTTATTCCCTCCACTATCCCTATTGCCTGGCCCCTTCCCACAGCTACGCACCCTCTGACCCAGGAAAGCCTGTTTGACCAAATTCCACAGAAACAGGAAGAAAAGGATGGGACCTGGTCTAATTCGGTCCTGGCTTAATTTATGTTTCCTCTGCATCAGATTTGAGACCTCTGTGTATAATGGTTTTAAAATGCATTCAGAATTTTTATTTTTATCAGGCTGGCTATATTTCTATTGCTAGCCACTTCAGTAGAACACATGGTCAACGGCCTCTGGCTAGGCAGAGGCTCATTTCTTTACATTGATATTTCACAACAGATCAGCAAGTGAGATAATTAACCTGGCTCCTGTCCAACCAACCTGGGGGTATATTTTACCTTGATGACTATTTGAAGAGATATGGGTATTAATGGCATTGGTAAAATGATATGAAAGGTGGGGAAGCAAGAGTTTTTGACAAACCCAAGCCTGCATGTGAGTTTCTAACTTATGAGTCAGGAATTTGTAGTTTTTTGATATACTCTATTATAATCAAACATTCTGGAAATCCCTTTGCAGTAATTTCTCTTCTCTTTTGACTGACATATTAATGACAGATTATTTCATTTACAGTAACAAAGTTACTGACTAATCTGCTGAAGGCCCATATTGGGAACTGGGACCAAATTAAACAGTCCCAAAAAATTGGGCAAGGGGTCACAATGTAACATTAACCTGCAATCAGTGATTGCAATGCTGTCAGTACAACTAATTTTGTACTCCTACTCATTTCAATGATTTCAGTGGTAACCACACTGTTGACTATCTAGATGCAGTAGCAGAGGTACAACAACACGCGTGGCTAACACCACTTAAAGCTACCATGCATTGCTTAAGGAGAAGTTGCTGGATAAACTCAGCAGATCTGGCAGCATCTGTGAAGAAAGAATCAGAGTTAACGTTTTGGGTCCAGTAACCCGTCCTCAGAACAAGGAATACCAGACCCGAAAACATTAACTCTGATTCTTTCTTCACAGATGCGGCCAGACCTGCTGAGCTTTCCCAGCAACTTCTGTTCTTGTTCCTGATTTACAACGTCCACAGTTCTTTCGGTTTTTTATTATGCATTGCTTAAGGTTAGCTTGCACCTCTTACAGGGGAAGTGCAAAATGTGGTGGGACCAGTTGCTGTATGTTATGGTTGGAGATAGCTGGAAAAAGTGAGAAATGACTCAATGGGAGAGAACAACCACCATTTTTAGGGACTACACTGGAGGTCTTAGGAGAAATGTCCTTCATGCATTGGATTGAGGAAGGAAGATCTCTAGACACACTATCAGTCGAAACAGTAAAAGTCCAAGGATCTGGAAGCAGTGTCAAAGAGCTCAATGATCTTGAGTGGTCAAGGTCATTGTATCTTCAAGAAGATTGTATCTTCAAATGCTTTATCTCATCAACTACCTCAGTAGCCTCAGCCATTGCTTAAATCTCCACCTCCCCATCACTGATGTGCCAAGAATCTCTATCAACCACTAAAATTCATATACTTCCCTGCAACCTTATTTTGGTGCATTTTTCACACCCACATCTCAGTTTGTACACACTGTCTACTTGTCATCAATGATTGCAATATCAACCAAGCGGACTACATACTCGGTGACACATTTTCCTCTTTTATTACCAGGCAGCACACACACAACTCCCAAAAAACATACAGAACCCCCAACAAACATCGTTAATAGATGTGAGGCTGGAAAAGTACAGCAGTTCACACAGCATCCGAGGTGCAGGAAAGTCAACATTTCGGCCCGAAACCCTTCATCAGGACTCACCCAAAATGTTGACTTAATCCCCATGAAGGAGACATATTACCATTTTTGAGACACGCATTGTTGAGGCAATGACCAGCAGTAGGACTAAGACCATTGAAGAAAACAGCATCCTCATAATGAATGTTCCTTCTTAAATCCTACCTCCCCCTCCACCTCACACAATCTTACAATATCCAAGCTGACGAAGGGTGGTGTAAGCATGTCACTCCGAATTTTCTCCTCTCCAGGCATCCCAACCTCACCCTGAAGTCTTTCGCCTTTCTGACAGTCAAGAGGTGCAGACTAACCAGGCAGTGGAGGAATTCCATTACTAGCAATGATGAAGATATTGCACCATCACTTGATTTTCATTTGCAGCAGACACTAGCACTGAGCATTACTGAAGGACAAGATCTGTACTTGGGTGAGACACTGGGCATGTGTGGGCTGCAAACAGCATATGGACAAGTTCACTTTCAGGCAAAGTCACAGGTGAAGACAGTGCAGGACAGTCTTTAAAGGAACACTAATGGATATGCACAGTGTTTTGGAAACCTGTAGGAATGCCACCAGTGAATGTGAAGGAACACTGAGGAGTCAAGCACCAACTTGGCACAGCTTGGAGCTCATTCATTCCAGTGTGAAAGTGGTGACCAAATTTATCTAAACACTTTGGAGCCACCCAATGACTGAATGCAACACCGAACGGTTAAGGGGCTGAAGCTTGTTGCTATGCAAGCTCCAACAGCTGACATCATGTTAGCAGTGTGTGCAGGGTAGCTCAATAATCCATAGATCTTTCCTCCAATTGATGATTAGAACTGGCTAGTAGTCCTTGCTGATCTCTGTAGCTAGCTAGCCTAGACTGCTGGTGTGATCTCTAGCCCAGAGCTACGTGGGGTCATCCTCAAAGACCATCTGTGGCCTCTTCCATTGAAAGTCAAGATCCTCTCCCCAGCCATTTTGCAGCCACTGTGAAAGCACTGTTAAGGCAAGGAAAGGAACATGGCATGAAAAAAATGCACAAGGATGATTACAATACACCAAGGGTACGCACAATGAGAAGGACATTTGCATGCAATATAGCATAATTATTATATATACATATTTTGGCTTGAGATTTTTTTTTGCACTATGGCCAAGTGGTTGCAATGATGATCAGTAGCAGAGCTAAAAGAAAGTGTCACACTGTTGGTGAACAGGGAATTGATGCTGCAGTTACTGCTATTCCAATCAGGTGAGTCTTTCATGGGCAGCTTGGCAAGAAGGGGCTGCCCAAATCACCTCCTCTTATATACCTGGTGGCAAGAACTGTCCCTGATGCGGTACACAAAACAACAGATTCCAGTGAACCTAAGCACCCACTCTCCGAGCACTATAGAGTTGGCCCTGAGTAGTCCAGGGAGTGAAAGCATTATTTCATTATGCCAAATTGAAACATCAGCTCTGTGACCAGATAGCCCTTGTCGCCCAATGCCACACTCTGGCTGCCAATGGTGGTTCAAATACAAGTGGCACAATGGACTGCTTCTGGCTTCATGCCTCATGCCAGGATAGTGGTTACAGATCTGCCACACTCATTACGGTAACATACTAGCTGGATGTTGTGGGAGTGGAGCCCTTTCTGTTCTATTACAGGGAAGAGGTGAGATCCAATGTTTGCAAAGTGACATGTATGCAGACAATAACATCCTATAGCATGAGGAAGTTTGTAACCCTTGAAAAGTTACTTGCTCACTCTGCCTGTTTCTCTCTTGGAAGTCAAAATTAAGTGTAGCTGGCTTTCTTTAGATTTAGAGGTTCAATTTTACAACAGTAAATGCCAAACTGTGCATGTTGCAAAACCTCTAGCTCCCATCTGGAAGAACCTAGATATAAAAGTTTAATGTCACAGGCACTTTCACAATCACTGGCAATACCATCCACGTCATGCTCTGATCATGAAATCATAGAATTTTATCATGTCTGTACTATAATGGCCCCTAAAAGAGCTAGCCAGCTAACCCAATCTCCAGCCTTACCTCTATAGCCCTCTAACTTCTTCACTTCCAAATATATATCCAGCTTTCTTTTGAAAACTTGTATGGAATCTGCTTCTATCACTTTCCCTGGCAGTATCTTCCAAATCCTAACAATTCCTTGAGTAAGGAAGTTTCTCCTCATCTCACTACTGGCTCTCTTGCTGACAATGTTGAAATTGTGACCCCTAGTCAAGTAATATAATCATAATAGTGTGGAGCTGCAGAAACACAGAAGGTCAGGTCTGCTGGTGAAGGGTCAAGGCCTTAAACGTCAACTTTCCTGCTCCTCTGATGCTGCCTGGCCTGCTGTGTTCCTCCAGCTCCACACTGTGTTGACTCTGACTCCAGCATCTGTAGTTCTTGCTATCTCAAATAGAAACATAATATCCCTCTTAACACTGTCAAAATTGTTCAGAATTTTGAATACCTGAATAAAGCCATCTCTTAATCTTCCCTGCTCTGTAGGGAATAAGCCCAATTTCTCTAATCTTTCATTGTATCCCCTCATCCCTGGTATCATTCCATTAAACCCTTTTGCACTCTCGGCACTGCTTTAACATCCTTCCCTAAAGGTGTCCAGAACTGAGCACAATACTCCAAACGTGGTCTGACCAATGATTTGTAGAGGTATAGCATCACTTCCTTGCTATAATACTCTATACTGATATTGTAGTTGTGGCTGCAGCAGACAGAATATTTCAGTCAGGATGTCCTTAATGGAGCCTAAAGGCCTCACATACTGCTCCTCAACGTTACTTCAATTTGTAATCAGTTGATAATCCCATGAAACAGCACATGTGGGGGTTACTTACTGCAGTTGAACGTGTTCCGCAATGTGAGTTTAAGAGAGACCATTATACAGTGTGTAGGATACAGACAAACATCATGGTCTGCCTGCTCTGCATACTTCTCGTGGGCACGCATACATGATAATGACTGCATCAGCCTGATGCGAAACACTGCACAAATGTGTGCCTGCAACTGACACCACATTAGAGCTCTAGGGAGGCTGGTGGCACTAAATGCTTACACACCCAGCCTCTCACTGTCTGAGTTCAAGTAATCAGAGAGTAGAAATCAATGACAATCTCCAATCCAATCAAATTGCTGTTAAACATTGATTTAACTGAATGATTTGGTAGATTTATGGTAGGGAAATATTTCAATAGAACTATAACTTCCTTCATTTTAATGCTGCAGACAAAGCCTCGTAAAAAGACATGCTATTACTTCCTGCTATTCCATAGCTGATGACAGATAGCTGTTTATTTACAGCAGCAAACCAGTCAAAAGGCTCTAATCTCTTCTGTGTTCAGTTACCATTGACTTAGAAACATTGTTTTGTTTCACTTATCAGTTACAAATTCCTTTACAATTCTTCTGTTCAGTTTAGAATAAACTAATTGTTGTCATTCATTGTCTCAATGCCTTCAATATTGATATGCAGGAGGCATTCTAAAGTCAGCTGTTGACTTGAGGGTAAAAGTATGCACAGTTCTTAGCTGCACAGCAGTGGTGGGGGAAGCTTGCTCCATTTACCTTTGACAGAATCACTGTTAGGATGGTACGCTGTTCAACATCCACGAGAACACACATTTGTGCCTCTGATTATCCCAGAAGGGATGAACATTCAATCCCACAGCTGCCATTAAAGGTGGAGTGAAGAACAGGGCATGATCATCACAGAAGAAACTAGACTTGTTCTCAAGGCATATACTATTCTCTGGTGATAGAGATGCAATAACAGAGAACATTTTATTTTCTTCAAGGTACAGAAGGGTTTTGATTTATAAGCAATTATTTGATATGCATAGGAACTAGGAAACAGTATTCATAAGACCAATCTACATGATCTCATGGTATCTCATTTCTCTTGCCACAGCCTTGGACTTCACTGCAATCTGAGTTCCCACGCAGAAATCAACAGGAAGCTGAGTGAGCAATTAGTAATTTCAGTCATGCAATTAACCATTCTGTGGTCACAGCCCCTCTTAATGCTGTCAAGGCAATTTTGTGAACTGAAGCAATGATGGATATTTGCCTAATGCCTTGGGTGGTAAATGAACAACATGGCATGATGCAAATCTTATAGCCTAGAAGACTGCAGGCTCAAACCCAGTTTGATACCTGATGCTGAGTTCACTAGTTTCAGCTTCAGCAGTGAGTAGGAATGGCATTTCAATTATACTCGAGTCCCCACCCTGGCTAGGGAGTGGGAAATAAAAATTAGCTGGAATTCTGGTTCATGATTGGAATTTATGATCTTTGCCCAAATTTGCGTGTGTGTGGAATTCATAAGGGCACAATAATGATGTCCCAATGGTGAACTGATCCATAGGGCTGAGTTTTGCCAAAGGAGCTGTGTCTATTTTTCTGTCTGGGTCTAGCTCTGCTGGCAAACTGATTTATCATTCAAATTTTCACTGGGGTTGAGCCCTTGATTGATACAGCAACAGGTTTCCTGTCCATTTACAACCAGTGAAGGCAGCAACAGATGTAGATCAGCTAAAGTGTGGGATTAATTTAGACTCCCCACCACAGTCATTATTGAAGCTGCTGATTATCATCAGGGAGAAATCTGCTGTTGGACCCAAGGCTTCTACAGTATTGGAGGGAGAAGAGCTGTCGTAAGGGAGTTGGAAGTTTGGTATCAATGATGCGAACCTGGATCAATTGTTGGAGATTGAAGACGAGAGGAGGGAGGTCCTCTTCCCAGAGGCTGACAACAGAAGCCACCTTGTCAACCAGCAAGATCACTTCTCTGTTCAGTATCATTGCCCTCTGCCCCGTTTTTCTCCTGTTCCTCTCTTACCTCCCACTCCCTACCTCTCTCCCATCCATATCAGGACTTACTGTCCTCAATCTCCATCCTTCTCTGGAGGGCTATGCTATGAGTACAACATTATGGTGGAGACCCTTGCAGGATGGAGAAGGAAGGAAACAACCAACTGGTCCAGGCACCAGAAATCCATCTTCAGAAATCTCAATGACGTCCTACTGAGCAGGAAACTTTGACTGTATTGTTGAGCAGGACTTTATCATATCTGTGCCTCTAACGGGGGGTTCCCATATCAAGGTCAGGAGTCATCTCTTCAAGGATCTCCCTTGTCCCCCAGAATCTATCCACACATTTTGGGAATTCAAATGAAGATCCGAGGAAGACTGGTCAGTTGGAGGATGAATGAGGCATGGCAGCTGCTGGAAAAGGAAAGGCGCACATGGAGGAAGCTTTTGGCATAACAGCAGACCATTTGAAAATGGAGTGAGTGGAATCGTGCTGATGGAAATAGGAGCGCAATCGATGATGTCATGTACCCAAGGGAATCCAGTAATGGAGGCAAAACCCAAATACTGCCCGATGCCAGTAGTTTTGGGATTCCCCTGCCACCGCCTGTTCCCATCTTCAGCTGGTCATAAAAACTCAGCTTTTCAAACCCTGAAAATTTGCAGCCCCTTCCTCATATTTGCTGCTCCAATTTTGGTGACGCTGTTGGGTGAGGAGAAAACTAGGCTGGAATTCAGAAATCCCGGCTCCATCCATAAATCACAGCCTGAAGTTGCCTGTGATAGGACAATCAGGAAATTGACATTTTCTATGTCAGGAGTTCCAGTTTCACAGCATACAGGCAGAAGCTAGGATAGTCTTGGCAATCCTTGCCACGAATAGCAGATGTGATACAGGAAGGGACCAGGATGAATTGTGGCTTCGAATCTTGTCCATTCAAGTGACAACAGTTTTCCTTTGATTAAGGTACAGGCATTTCTCTAACTGGAGGCTAGGACAGGATCATGTGATCCACTACAATGCCACCACCACAATATTCAAACACTCCCATTGACAGGCGAGTGCCCTAGATATGCCCAAAGTGATACTGGTGACTGCAATTAGAATCTCTCTGTGAAAACTGGCAAGGGTACCAGGCAGGCATTACCTGTGGGCCTATTAGAATCTCTCTATTAACATTGGGAAGGGTACCAGGCAGGCATTACCTGTGGGCCTATTAGAATCTCTCTACCAACATTAGGAAGGATACTAGGCAGGCATTATTTGTGGGCCTGTTAGGCACTTATACCAAAACTGTGCCCACTTTAGATTTCCAAATGTTAACATTAGACAGGGAGAGTGTGTATTAGTGAGGAACCAAATGACTACTAATGCTCGTAGAATTGTGCCCCAGAATTGGAACTAAAGAAACAATAGAAAGCTTCTACTAACATCAAGGACCCACAGCATTACATTATTCTTAACTGGAAAGGCTGCTCTTACTTCCAGTACTCCTCACTAGGACTGGTCCGCTTTGCAGTTTGGTTCAGCAATGTTGAGATGTTACGTGACAGATCACTGATGTTGGCAGTTCTGTTGGGGTTCAGCATGCTACTGCAATCGTCCTTGTTCCACCGGTTAGTGCAGTATGACCAAGGCAAGAGTGTAGTCATGGAGGAGAAGAAGTAGTAGAAGGCGATGGAGATGACCACATTGTAGTAGATTCCAATGTATGTAGAAACCACCATCATCCCATACCCCACTCCTGTTCACAAGAATAAGGAATATAAATCAAACAATTCTACTTTGTACTTCTCAGGGCTGTTTAGTTTTTATTCCTGTCAGGAAATGCTACACTCATGAAGCATCTGAACAACATGGAAATTCTGTATCTAACCTTGTAGAAAGATTTCCTCTCTGTGATATGTCTGACAAGATCGTGGACTCTAATTTTAGGAAGTGCACTTAGAAGTATTGTCACATTTAATGTACAGTAGTAATCTTCACAACTGTGGCTCCTGGGTGTCAATTTAGTATCACATTTTAAATTGTGGCAACATAGATGTATGAGTTCTGAGGGCAAATAGCATCTGTGCCATTCCCACTATAGATAATTTATCAGAATGACAAGAACAAAGTTGAACAAAAGTTGCATTCCTTCTAAAGAGGAACTAAAAACATAATGGAACAAAGCAGCAATAAATCTGTGAAGCAATTACACTGAACAGGTAAGCAGGGGAACAGCGGTGAAGACACAGGGTAAATTCTACATAGTATCGCACAATTTTGGTTCAAACCAGTATTTTCTGTATGCACACAACTAATTAGCATAGAATCTGTTTCAGAGACAATTAAGGTGTCCATGATTTTAATAAGGGGCTTTTGGCATGGGTGCTGGGTGAAGAACAGAGTCTGAATGGTTCCTGTACAGGAAGTGCACCTGACATGTACAGCAAGGGAAGGAACAGGAGTGGGAGTTGAGTTGGGACCAATACTGGCAACTAAGATGTGAATGGGGACCAAAGAGAAAAAAAAAATTAAAAAATAAAAGAGAAAAAAACAGAAAAAAAGAAAAAGAAAGAAACAAAGAAAGCAGACAGAGGCGGACGAGCCCCGTACTGGGCACTTAAACGCAGCGCTGCTACTCCACTGACACCATCTTCGAAGAAAACTGTTGAACTTTTACCTGTATTTCTTTATTTTTCCACTTAATACTAGAAAGGACTGTAATATTAACTTTTAACTTAATTCTTTCTTTTTATACTTACACTGAGAAGAACAGAAATGCTTTATTTTTTACTTTGTTTCTCGATGTTGCTACTTGTAGCTACGTTTTGGTACCTTGTACCTAAGATGGCACTGTGTACGGTGATATTGTACACTTTTCACTGTACTCCTGTACTTCTGTAGGTGAGTACACATGACAATAAAGCTTAAATAAAGTAAATCAAAGGGACTGGGCCTCAGAACACAGTTAAGTGCCAGGTCTTGCAGTAGGGGTGCAAGAGACAAACTTATGGTTTCTAGGAGGGAGAATGAGGACTAGGACTGAGAAAGCCAAGGATGTTTCTTCCTGTTATTCCAAACAGTCTGATATGTCACTCTGCTGTACTCCGGCAGATTTCTCTGGAAAGCTTGATGGGGTAGGCCACTCCCATCCCACAAATCTCCACAAAAAAAAACATGTCATGGCACCAGCGTTATTACTGGCATTGATTCTTACATTTAAATTCAGCACATACTTTGCCTTCATTTGATGCCTTGGCCCAGTTCAAAGTTGTCGAAGATGAATTGTAGTCAGGCAGGGAAAGCACAAGCGGGGTGGACAGAAGGGGGCGCGGAGGGGGGCGGTTTACTGTTGATAATATCCAACACACTGATTCTTTTCCTGATGGATTAGCATGTATGAACATACAGAAAAAAGGACAAGAACAACTAGAGAATGCAACAAAATTATGTGATGGACACATGAAATGTCTGATCAAGTTATATGACACTGTATTCAAAATTATTTGATTTTCATAAAAGGCAACAATCACTTTTTAATATGCCTCTCACATTCCTGCAATATAACATAATGAATGTCATAATAATTATTATTTTAAAATAGTTATCCTGTGTTTTCATTGCTTGTGACATAGCTGGTGTTTGTAGTTATAGAAGTCAAAATTACTGCAGATATTACATTTTGTTGCTGTACAAAATATTCTTTGCCAGCGTTTAAATTGCATTTAGGAAACATGACTCCAGTGTCTGCTTGAAAATTCTTCCAATATCCATTAAACACGGGATCCTTCTTAAGTTACATTCCCATGTCGAGCTTTCCAGTGCTGCCTATTCATTTCCTTGTTGTATGGCACGGTGATTTCCGAAATGGACCTTCTTACCTTTGAACATAGGGTTAACCTTCCATACACCAAGGCAGCCTTGGCTGGTGAACTGCCCAAAGGAAAGTTCCAGAAAAAAAAGAGGAATACCGCAGAAGACCAGCATGATGATATAGGGAAACATAAATGCACCTTTAAAAAAAGAAGACCCATCATTACAGATTGTACAGCCAGTATCTCGAAGAACAGTTTGTACTACACCTCAGTTTTAGATTGGAATGTTCCTTTAGGCAAGAATGCATCAGTGGTTAAATTTAACTTTAAACGTATAGCCTCGGTTCAGGTTATGAAATCTGATAGGTTGGGGTAGGAATGCTTCATTAAGTTGGGATGTGGAAGTGCTGGTGTTGGACTGGGGTGGACAAGGTCAGAAATCACACCTCATCAGGTTATAGTCTGAGGAAGGGTCACTGGACCCGAAACGTTAGCTCTGTTTTTTGCCTTCACAGATGCTGCCAGACCTGCTGAGGTTCTCCAGCGACTTTGTTTTTATAGTTCAACAGGTTTATTTGACAACACAAGCTTTCAGAGCTTCCATCCTTCTTCAGGTGTTAGTGAGAGAAGAAGTATCTGACACAGAATTTATAAGTAAAAGATCAAAGGTTCACACCATTGATGAGGATGTACTAGACAAACCTAAGATGCTGTTAAATCTTTAATCAGTTAGAATGTTTTAATTGATTAATATGTATATGTAAATCCCCAAATTCCTTTCAACTCACAGTTGTGAGAGAACTAAAGGTTTTATCAGTGTAAAGAGGAGGTGTCATATTAGATCAGACAATGCATGTTAGGTGAGAGACCTTGTTTAGAATCTGTGTTTTAGTTTGGAGTCAGACTGGTTTTATTTCTAAAGTAGGAATTTATAAAACACCATATTGACTGACTGTCTATACATTGTGTGCTTTTTGAACAAAATAGAATGTATCTGCAAATACAGATTCACCCTATAGATTCGTGTGTGTGTGTGTGTGTGTGCGCGCGCGCGTGTGTGTGTCAGAGAGACAGTGAGGGGGTGAGAGAGAAAGTGATTGTGAGTGAGGGGGTACAGAGAGTGTGTGTGAGTGAGGGGGGGAGAGAGAGTGTTTGTCTGTGTGTGAGGGGGGGAGAGAGAGTGTGTGTGTGGGGGGGGGGAGACAGAATGTTTGTGTGTGTAGAGGGTGAGGCAGACAGACAGACACACACACGCACACACTCTCCCCCACCCCCTCACATACACACACTCTCCCCCACCCCCTCCCACACACGTACACACACTCTCTCCAACCCCTCACTCGCTCTCTCTCACACACACACAACTCTCTCCTCACACATACACACACACTCTCTCCCACCACTCTCTCACACACACACATTCTCTCTCACTTCTCACTCACACACACTCTGTCTCTCCCCCCCACTCTCTCTCTTTCTCTCTCACACACACACACACACACGAAATCACACACATGCGTGAATCTATGGGGAGTGATTCTGTATTTGCAGATACATTCTATTTTGTTCAAAAAGCACACATTGTATAGACAATCAGTCAATATGGTGTTTTCTCAATTTCTACTTTAGAAATAAAACCAGTCTGACTCCAAACTAAGATACAAACAGATTCTAAACAAGATCTCACACCTAACATGCCTTGTCTGACCTAAAATGACACCTCTTCTTTACACAGATAAAACCTTTAGTCCTCTCAGGGCAGTGACTTCAAAGGAATTTGGGGATTTACATATACATATTAATCAATTAAACCTTTCTAACTAATTGAAGATTTAACAGCATTTTAGGTTTGTTTAAATCCTCATCAATGGTATGACCCTTTGATCTTTAACTTATAAATTCTGTGCCTGATACTACCTCTCTCACTAACACCTGAAGAAGGATGGAGGCTCTGAAAGCTTGTGTTGTCAAATAAACCTGTTGGACTATAACCTGATGTCATGTGATTTCTGACCTCATTAAATTAGGTAAACCAACAGATTTCTTGTTTACTGATTGCTAAAG